CTTAACCACACTAGAATATCATCATTCATCACTTTCTTTCCTTCTTTAACTTGAAGGACCTTTGTTATTTTATACCATCACATACACATATATGTACAAGGGTGGACTAATCTTGCTATCAAGGGTCGAACAATGATCTAATGAAATCCACTCATTCGAAGCATGATATCACATATTCTAGTATGAAAGTTTCGCTCGCGTTTAATGAATTCAAATTTATTCAACTTGTTTTATGATAAACATTGTAAAGGACACCCTTTTATTGCACAAACATGTTTTAACATCACAACTACATGCAACATGCTAATTGTTTACATAACAAATGTCTTTTTCCTATTGCTATTGGGAAATGCTTATTAATATGTTAAATTGCAAATTGTACATTTTTTCTTAAAAACCAAACCGAAACCGTTTGAAACCGCACCAAACCGAACCAAACGATTTGGTTTCATTTTGGTTTTGGCTTCAAAACTGCACCAAACCGAACCGCAAAAAATTTCGGTTTCACTCAAAACCATGCCCACTCCTACTAATTGGGCAGCTGCTCACTTTCTCCACTCCTAATTGGTCCCCTCCCCTACTTTAATGGAAACTTTTATATATATTAAAACCATATTTTACTATTTAAACAAACTTCTAACATTCGTAACTTCTTCATTGTCACTATGATTCGTGAACGGTTTTCACCTATGTGCTCGGGGAATCAAAATCTATTCAGAAACATTAATTGTGATCTTGAAAGGTGTACGGTTTTTAAGTGATTATTTTTTACTCGAACTTTGTAACTAAATACACAAATTATAAAATTTAACCAAATTAAATTAAATTAAATCAAATTCATGAAAATAATATAAAATCTCACAAATACGAAATACGTAAATTAAAATTGTGAAATACAGGAACGAGATTTCACACTCTTCCCTCTATAAAAATTTCACCCTCGAAATTTTCAGTAATCAATTACATATTGGCATATACACAGCTTTAAAGACAAATAAGTAAATTTAACGGAACTCTCTTCACTACAGTACTACTCTTTGCTTGCCCTTAACTTTTAGAGCACTTCCACCGCGTGCTCCTGCCCGAGGGACAGGCGCAGGAACATGGCCAAAGAGCCCGAGTAATGAAGTCCAGCATGTGCTGGCGAGCGAGCCCGAGCAAGCCCGAGCGAGAGGCCAGGCAGGAATCGACAGCCCAAGAGCCTGAGGGCTGTGTGACGTGTGGCTGATGTGCAGCATCGGTGCATGCACCGACCTTGACATCTCCCCGTCCTCCTTCCCCTCATTTGACCTGGATCTACACACCCAAACCGTCCATTTGAACGAAAAACATCAACTATGCATAATCAATTTCAAAAAATTAAATTAAACTAAATTTTCCAATAAAACTGCGGTTCTAAAACCATCGCATATAGGATCAAATTCGATCGGCAGCAAATAAATCAAACAAGAAATTTAAAAAAAAAAAAAAAAAAAAAAGAATCATCGGATTGAACTCACTATTCGGGATTCATGGTTGGGACTTAGAACGAGCCGCGAAAAATTAGGGAGAAATTCTAGTCCTGACAAGCAATTGCCGCTATGTGTAGAGAGAAGGGAAGTGAAAGAGAAAGGGAAGGGAATGAAAGCAGAGAAGAGGAGAGGAAGATGAAGATTGGGGAAGAAGGAGAAACCGAGGAGGGAAGGAATCAAAGCAGAGAAGATGAGAGATGATGATAGTGGAATGAGAGAAAAAGGTAAAAAGGAGGAAAAAGGGAAAGAGAGATAAAAAGAAGAGAGAGAGAGAGAGAGAAGGAGGGAAAGAGAGGAAGAAAAACTGGTTAAAAAAAAAAAGGGAAAGGGTGATGGGGATGAGGATGTTTGATGGACTGAGTGAGAAAAAAAAAAAAAAATTTATTGCTCATTGTCAGAGCTATTTAAGTGCAACAGTGGAAATACAAAAGGTAATTACTATTTATTAACAGCAGTTACTGTTTACTGGATGTATTAAATAGAGTGTTGCCTGGGAAGGTTCACGCCTTATAGACCTCGCTAAAGCCTTCCCCATCTCTCTCCCAAAACCAAACCATAGTTCTGCAATCTTAGCCACCAGCCTCTTGCTTCGGCTTGAGGTCGGCGGTGACCACTCCTCACCGTCCTCCTAGTCTCTCTTTCCTTTCTTTAGCCTCTGCCAACCTTTCGGCATTTGTTCTTTTCCCGTTCCGCTCCCTCCCTCTCCCTCTGCCGCCCCCTACCCCACGCCTCTTTCCACCATCCATTAGCTTTGTTAGAATATAATATTGTAAACCTTAGTTAGTTAGTTAGTTAGAGACATTGCTCTCTCTATATATACATCATTGTAATAACTTCTTGAGTAAGAAATCAATACAACAGATTCTGCAATTCATCTCTCTAAAACCCCTTCTCTCTCTCCCCCTCTCTAGTTCTTGAAACCTTAATCATTTCTCAATCTCTCTACATTAACATGGTATCAGAGCCATTAAAGCTTGATCAGCTTCTTTGATCCTTTCTTTTGCTTCCGCTACATGAAATTCTTTCTTCTTCTGTCTTGTGGGTGTATCAAGATTACCCAGTTCTTCATTCTTCGCTCTAAAAGGTTGTGCACACCAAGTGTTTGAGTCTTTTCCTCAGACAGATTTCTCTACAATTTTTCCGAAATGGTAACTGCGAATCAACTTCAAATCTTGCAATCACCAATCACTGGATTGATTTCATCTGTTTCCATGTCTGTTACTATGAAACTGGATGAGACCAACTATCTACAATGGCATTTTCAGATGCAGTTGATGCTTGAAGTCCATGGAATTATCGGGTTCGTTGACGGATCAAATCTCTGTCCTGCTCAGTTTTCTTCTAGTTCTTCAAGAGATTCAGAGGTAACATCTGGTACTTCATCTTCAAGAACTGAAATTGATGAGTACAAAGTCTAGAAAATGCATGATCATTCCTTGATGTTGTTACTTACTGCAACACTTTCTTCATCCGCTATTTCCAGTGTGATTGGTAGCAAGAGTTCTCAAAAGATGTGGGTTCATCTTCAAAACCAGTTTTTCTTACCAAGTACAAAAACTAGTATAATCAAATTACAAACTGATCTTTACACCATTAAGAAGGGATCAAATTCAATTTCCCAGTATCTTCAAAGAATTAAAGAAGCAAGGGATGGACTTTCTATTCTTGGTGTCATTTTTGTTGATGAAGACTTTGTGATCATTGCATTGAATGGACTCCCTCCAAAATACAACACATTTAAATGTGTACTCAGAGGGCGTGAGAGTATCATTTCACTAAAGGATTTTCGTGCACAATTGCTCGTTGAGGAAGCCATTGTGGATTGTGCTCTTGTTGAATGTGAGACAAAAGGAGCTTCTAGCAGTGCTCCAAAGCACAACGATTGTGATAAAACAATTATAATGAAAACCGAGGAGCAGCCAGCTAGTTCTGTTGGTGCAGAAAGTTCACAAACTAGCGGATCAGCTAAATTACCAACATCTTGTGAATCAACCCAGTTACTAGAAGTGCAAGGACTATCTATACTGCATTTTTCGACTAGGCTCCATCTGTTACATCAGTTTGCTCAGGTTCTTGCAGACCTGTCACAGGGAAAGTACAATGCAAAACTATTTTTAGACTCGTTTTTGGTTCAACTTGTTGTTTTGGCCATATGGGAGAAATCTATTCAAATTACTGCACATGAGTTCAGAGGATCTTATGTATTTCGCTTATGCAATGTTGGAGGTATATTTGATATTCAAGTAGGATACCATATGGGCATTTGTGATAAGGGTGGTGGCACCAGGTCTATGTTGATTTGGCTATTATGGTACACATGATATAGCATCAACCTCACTCTCCAATTGTAAGGAATACTGCACTAATGTTCTTTGACAATCTGACTGCTTCAACCTCATGATTGGGTGCCCCAATCTTGAGTTTGAGGGGGGATGTTAGAATATAATATTGTAAAACTTAGTTAGTTAGTTAGTTAGAGACATTGCTCTCTCTATATATACATCATTGTAATAACTTCTTGAGTAAGAAATCAATACAACAGATTCTGCAATTCATCTCTCTAAAACCTCTTCTCTCTCTCCCCCTCTCTAGTTCTTGAAACCTTAATCATTTCTCAATCTCTCTCTACATTAACAAGCTTCCCCCACCCCTTTTTCTTCTTCCCCACCTTTTTATGCACGGCTGTTTCCATGATCTCAGGTCTCCTTTCCAGATCCGGGTCATACCATCTCAAGGTCTTCTCTTTGTTTGGGTTCGATTTGGGGTTTAGGTTTGGATTGGGGCTGCTTGGTGGGTCGGAGCCACTTCCGGTGTCTTTTCCCGGTGTTGTGAAACCCCCATCTCTGTGGATGCGCTGCCTTTGCGCCGTCTAGGCTGCCTTCTATCATGCTCGATGTAGTTGCACTGCCTTGGATGGTTAATCTGGCGTTGCCCTGTCTGGGCCGCCTGTTTTGGTTGTCCCGCCGCTTGCGGCTTTCCAGATCTGTAATCTCCATCGCTGTGGCTCAACGTGCAGCTCTGCTACCTTGCTTTTGACTTGCTGATAGGACTGTCCATGTGCAGTGGTTTTCTCTAAATTGTCCAATCCTTCCATCGGAATGTGCTAATTTGTGGTTCCTTTCTCGGAGTTATTTTGCTTAGTTTGGTTTAGTTTATTTTTAAGTTAGTTTAGATTAATTTAGTCATATTGTTCTCACCTAGCGAGTGTTGTGGTCAGGCTGGTTACACATATTCGCAAAGCCGGTGGCCTGGGCAACTGGTTGTTGATGACCATTAATTGGGTCCGATAACAGTTCAATTTTGTGACATGTTTTGATGGCTACACAAACGCGTGGTCCTTGTAAAACTTTGATTATGCCGTACGTTATGCTGATCAGGTAACACACAATTGGACTTTTAGAGGACAAAGGACAACTGAACTTATTGAGGGTCATCTTATCTGATTATCACGTGGTTCCAACTAGTGTTCTATGTCAATCTGACCACGTCTCTGCAGACTAGTCATTCAACAATAAAACAGGTGCGACCGGCCGGAAAACTCCGATGACCTGTCAGATAGAGCAACATTAGTCGGTGAGTTTCAAGAACTGAGTAACATTTGGTCCAGGAAGAGGAGAAGAAGAAGCAATTGTTGACACATGGTGTATTATCCTGTATTTTGATCACATTGAAAAATCTCTTCTTTATAACCTAACAGAACAAATTGAACGTTTTGGTAGACTCATGTCACCCGCCATTCCCTAAGTTAGTACTGGCTTTTAAAATAACCGAAAGCGCTTTTGGTGAAAATGTTTTTAGAACTAATCCTTAGTAAAAATGCAATTAAATTCTAGAAAAGCACTTAAGTGCTTCCTAGAAGAAGCACATAGCTGGTGCTTCTTGTATAAAACACTTTAAGTGCTTTTGGAACCTAAAAATTTTTTCTTTAAAAATGCTTTCAAGTATTTTAAAAATACATCCAAACTAGCTCTGAATTAGAAAGAGGCTCTCTCTCTCTCTCATGATCACGAAGGTTCCACCTAATCTTGTATGTAAGTCCATCTAAATGTGTTAAACACTACAGAGAAAGTAGATTGCATCGTGTATATATGATTAAACTAGCGGCAAGTAAAGCGTCGTCACCATGTTGCCACAAGCACTTCTTCTGGTGGTTCTTTTGAACACCAATGTTGCTTCAACGTCAAATATCATCACCGCCCTACCCGGCTTTCCCGGTAACCTCCCCTTCAAACTTGAAACTGGGTAGGTACTTCTTGTATCTTTTCAAAACTAGTTTAATACGGAAGATGACTATGAAATTACATGAATTTGAATTTATTATACAAAAGGTACGTGGGAGTAGGCGACATGGATGATGTGCAGCTATTTTATTACTTCATTGAGTCTGAAGGGAGTCCAGAATATGACCCTCTTGTGCTTTGGCTCACCGGAGGTCCTGGTTGTTCTGCGTTTTCTGCACTCGTATATGAAATAGGTACTTATGTAGTCCACTCTGTGCTTCTTTACGGAGGATTTTGGTACTTGCTTATTTATTCACTGTCTGCATCATTTCTGAGGATATAATTCACTATTAGAGGAAATGAGAGAAATGGTTCCTGAACTATGATCGAATTGTAGTTTTGGTCTCTAAACTAAAAATTCATTATTTGGTCCTTGAACTTGATAAAATATGGAGGGTTAGTCCATCGTTACCAATTCCGTTAAATTTTAGTTAAACGTGGTTACATGTTAGTGAAAAGTGTTAAACAAAAATTGCAGGCCTACCTCATCCAACCAACTCTCGCGCAGCCCACCCTTCAACTTTAATCTTTGATACACTCCCCGCTAACTTCCCACTTCCAACCCCCAATCGCTAATCCCCACTCCGTCTATAAGTACGATTTTATAATTCAAAAGTTTTTACGAGGTGTATAGTGAACATATATTACTCCCAAATTTCCAATTGGAACAATTTTGAACAATTTATGAACATTAGTAGTCTGCGGCAAGTAATTTAATTCAAAACTTAATTATTGTAACCATCTTTATTATATAACCCTTACTTTGTTGTAGGTCCACTATCCTTTGACTATGCAGATTCCATTGGCAACAAGCCAAAGTTAAAGTTGAATCCATACTCATGGACAAAGGTGCGTGACACTAATTCAATTGCCTTCGAAGTGTTTGTGTTTTCGTATGTGAGATCAATTGCTGCAGCTTTGAGTTATTCTGGATTTCATACAAATATTGTCAATAACCCAAGAATTTCAGGTTGCCAACATAATATTTGTAGATGCGCCTGTCGGCACCGGATTTTCATACGCAAAAACTTGGAGAGGATACGCTAATATGAGTGACACTTTATCAGCAGCACAAACATATGAATTTCTAAGAAAGGTGAGGATATATTTAGCTACCAACATGGTAAATGTATTCATTAATCTGTCTGAGCACATACAAGGTTTTTAGCTACATTCGGTGTATTGGTGCAGTGGCTTATGGACCACCCTAAGTTCTTCAACAATCCACTCTATATTGGTGGCGATTCTTACTCAGGGATAGTTATTCCTCTTATCGTTCAAGAAATATCCGATGGTAAGCTATTTTCATCACCCCATTGGGCATAGTTCTTCCTCTTACATTCAACCTTTATTTAATTCAGTGTCGCGTGTATATATTAACATTTCATTCATAAAGTCTTCGTGCTCAATATGTGGCAGATGAACACATTGGGTATTGATCCGCAGTTGTTTTGTTTGTTTCTTATATGTAGGTAATCATGATGACAATATGCCGCCAATGAATATCAAAGTACGTCTTCTTCAATTAGAATATGAATGATTGCTGTTATGTTTTAGTTAATTAATCCCTGACCATATGTTGGATGCAGGGATATGTGCTTGGCAATCCACTGACAGATCCGAAAAAAGATGAAAATTCCAGAATTTTATTTGCTTACCTAAAAGCACTTATATCAGATGAACTGTACCAGGTGAAATAGCCTCCTGTTGTTTTCAAGTTGAGATTGGACTGTGGCTACTCAGATTAATCTGAACTATATTTTAATCAAAACTGTTGGATCTTAGCTCTTAAGTTATATGTATAGTTCTCAATAAAACAACAACGTCTCTCAAGTTACAAATTTTCACATTTTTGCTAGTCACTTCAAACAAATTGCAACGGAGATTATATCAATGTGGATCCGTACAACGCATTATGTGTGGTTGATCTTGAAATTTACAACGAGGTGAGTGGAAACACAATAAGGTCCTTGGTTTCTGCAAGTACTTCTCATTTTCATGTAATCTGGAATCATTATACTGACTTTACATTTGAATTCACAGTGCACGGAAGACATATACCTTGGACAGATACTGGAACCTACGTGTACTACAGTAACTTTGCTAAAATCAAGAGGATCAATATGGAATCCGAACCATCTCAGTGATAAGGACTCTCTAAATATCCTCTTAACTTCTTCTAAACTTCTGAGGCCATGGTGTCGGGTATATATCTCTCCGTACGCACACACAAACAAGCACAAGTGAACTCTAATCGTATTTTCCTTGTTTTAATGTAGGACTACAATTATATCTTCTCTGAAATTTGGGCAAATGACAGAACTGTTCAAGATGCTCTTCATGTTCAGGAGGTAATCAAAGGTTAAATTTTAAAAAATCCATTTCAGGTTCTCATGACATTTCAGGGGACTTTAATTTTCCGATTTTAAATGACAATTAGGGAAGCATTGAAGAATGGGTGAGATGCAATAAAAGCTTAGAAGATTCAAATATAAATGATGTTTCCTCTAGTCTTGTATATCATGAGAACCTTATAAAACGAGGCTATAGAGTTCTTGTTTACAGGTAATATATCTGTCCAATTTTCTTTCGTTAGGGAAGTTTTCTAACAGAATCTGACACAATGTGTTTCCGTATATATCGCATGATCGTTGCTTCCGCACTCAAAATTTCTGTTAACAGTGGTGATCATGATATGGTAGTTCCATATGTGGGTACTCTTGCTTGGATAGAGTCGCTTAACTTGACTGTTGACAGTCGTTGGAGGCCATGGTTCGTCAGTGGGCAGATTGCAGGGTTGGTGCTACATTTTCGCTTAAGACATAATCTTTGTTCCCCCGTTCATACTGAGTTTAATTATAAATTTAGATTACAATTATCACATGCTTACCACATATAATGTTTTCACTTTTAGATACAGTGTGCAGTACTCACACATAACTAATTACAAGTTGACATTTACGACTATAAAGGCAAGAAGCCAAGAACCTTTATGAACTTAATTTTTCATAGATACTAGAGTTTGCTAGAGCAAAAGCCGACTAAAATTTTCTCTTCATGCAGGGAGCCGGTCACACAGCTCCAGAGTACAAACCTGAAGAGTGTCTTGCTATGATTAGTAGGTGGTTTGCATATTACCCTTTGTAGTCAGTAATTCTGATGAAGTACCCGTCGATTTATAGATCCTCATTTATTTGGAGTAGATTTATAACAATGTGTGGAATAAACAATATGTTGTAAGCTTAGTCATGAAGTGTTTAATTTGCTTTTGCACATTACCAAAGACATCTTTGCTTCACCGTTTCACATTGAATTTAAATCTTTCAGCGTACGCTCTAAACATATCATTTGGGTGTCTAGAGATATTACATTGCCAATTGTCTATAACAAATTGATTGAATTCAGAGTGATTAAGCCACATTACCTCAAACTTTAAAGAGTTCTTCCTTTTATGGCCAATATTATTACATTGAAATATGGTAGGACTAAGGTCCGAGCCAAATATTGGCAAGTTGTGTACATGAACATGTTCAAACATATTTAGCCACTCGAAATTAGCAAACGCACGGTATAACCTTTCAAAGACTATCGATTTATCTTTATGTCCATTTGTCCAACTGAAATGAACTCCGGAAGCAGGTATAGAGACCAGATTACCACCATTGTAAAATTATTGAAATCAATCATGCGCTTAGTTATTGTTCTATTCCCTCCCAAATTTTCTTCGGCGTTTAGGATATTGTTAAAATCTCCCAAGAGTAACAAAGGATTGTTATTTGGGTTCAGTGTAAGAATTTTACTCCATAACTCATATTGTAATTCTTTTTTAGGGTAAGCATACACTAAAGTAATTAGATAACTTGTATCACAAACAAGATCATGCACAATAGCCTGTATAAAACGATCAAAAGAGTAGATTATATTGATATTCAAGGCATTCGATTTCCAGAAAAAACGAAGGCCACCAACCTTTCCAACACCTACACCGTTAAAACTACAATAAATAAAAAAAAGCATTATAACAAGTAGAAGAGACAAATTTCTCAACATATTTTTTGTACGAAAGTTGGAAACAACGAAAAACTTTTGGCAAATCGCACTAGCAGATAGAATACATGATGATCACCATGTTGCCACAATCACTTCTTCTGACGATCCTTTTGAACGTTAATTTTGCAGCAACGTCCAATGAAGGGTTGGTTTGGTATTGCTGTACTTTGAAAAAAAACTGCTTCTGCTGTGCTGTGAGAATAAGCAGCTGTGAAATAAAACAGCAGAGTGTTTGGTAAACTTTTTTGTAAAAGTGCTTTTGAAAAAAAAAAAAACAGTATTAGAGTGTTTGGTAAACTTTTATGTAAAACAGATGTGAAAAAAAGCCGGTTTTTCAAAGCTGGGTTTTGCAGCTTCTTGTTTTTGGCTTTTTTTCATCCAAAACTGTGAAAAAAAGCTGAAGCTGAGTGTTTACCAAACACAAAAACAGCTCCCAGCTTTTTTTTATAGTAGCTTTTTTCAGAATCACTTCAGTAACAAACCAGGTCGAAATCACTTCTTATCTATATCGCATCTACTTTGTAACACGCAGAAATTAATAATATTTTATGGTTTACTTTAATGTCGACAAAACCACGTCGAGAAATACCACCATATTTTCCGGCGAGACCAGATTAGGATTCGGATTCAATGACGTCGACATCCTTCCAATCTTCTCTCACTCCCACGCTGACAAAACCACGCTGAGAAACACCACCATATTTTCCGACGAGATCAGATTAGGATTTGGATTTGGATTCGGTTTTTGCCCCCAAATTCGAAGCTTCGGCCATTTGGATCCTCATAAAATGCTATGCTTCTTCATATTTTCGCAGATTAGGAGAGCCCAGGTGACTAATCTGATCCTTGTCCTCTTATTCTTGTTGAACTAGTCTTCCAGAATCCCAACCTTTCAAATTGCAGGTTCGCTTCTTTCTCTCCCCCTCTCAGAAAGAAGAGAGGTTAGACGGAGAAAACGAGACAGAAAAACCCAGTGAGGAAGAAGATAGGTTAGACGGAGAAAACAAGGGGGACGAAAAGGAAAGAAAGATGCTGATCAATTTCTCTAGAAATTATAGAAGGATTATAAATATAAAAGTTATATATAAAAGTTTATATAATAAAAGTTATAATAAAATTTACTAGCATATGACCACACACAAAATGCGTAAGAAATTTTTTTATTTTTGTTTTTGAAATAGAAGGAGAGAGGAAGAGAGTGATAGAGAATGTGGAAGTGGCAAATTTTATTTTTTTATTTATTTTCTTTTTATTTTTATAATTAGAGATATGTTAGGATCACATGTAGGTGAAATTTTGAAAAGAAAAAAAGCAAAATTTGGTTGTGTAAAATTGCATTTATGCCTCATATTTCTCATTCATGTTTTGTTTTAATTAGAGAATTAAACTAGTAATTTCATAGGATTTTGATTAACAAAGAGTGTTTTTTTAATTAGTAGAGATAAAGAAAAATGTTACAAATAAAAGATTATATTAGATTATCCGCCTTTTAAGGAAAACAAAAAGATTATATTGGATTATTCTACATTTTTACTTGTTTAACACTGTTTTTTTTTGTTGAAAACACTTCTACAAAAAAAATTTCAACAAAAATATATTTACCAAACACTCACTTGTTTTATTTTACACCAGTTTATTCACAGCAAAACAAAATCAAATTTTTTAAAAAACACAACAATCCCAAACTAAACCTTATTATGTGCAACGGCACACAGATAATGACATCCTATATATGTATGATGAAATGAGACTAGCAGCAAATAAAACATCATCATCATCACCTAATATTATAAAACTAGCAATAATTGAGAGCTCGTTTCGATGCATTATTAAAATAATCGAAAGCCCTTTTGATGAAAATGTTTTTAGAACTAATCCTTAGTGAAAATGCAATTAAATTCTAGAAAAGCACTTAAAGTGCTTTCTGCAAGAAGCACCATTTATGTGCTTCTTTCAGGAAGCACTTTAAGTGATTTTGAAACCTAAAAACATTTTCTTTAAAAACGCTTTCAATTATTTTAAAAAATGTTCAAACTAACCCGAATCAAAGAGGCTCTCTCTTTCTCTCATTATCACAAAGGTTCCACCTAATCTTGTATGTAAGTCCATCTAAATGTGTTAAACAATACAGAGAAAGTGCATGCCATCGTGTATATATGATTAAACTAGCGGCAAGTAAAGCGTCGTCACCATGTTGCCACAAGCACTTCTTCTGGTGGTTCTTTTGAGCACCAATGTTGCTTCAACGTCAAATATCATCACCGCCCTACCCGGCTTTCCCGGTAACCTCCCCTTCAAACTTGAAACTGGGTAGGTACTTCTTGTATCTTTTCAAAACTAGTTTAATACGGAAGATGACTATGAAATTACATGAATTTGAATTTATTATACAAAAGGTACGTGGGAGTAGGCGACATGGATGATGTGCAGCTATTTTATTACTTCATTGAGTCTGAAGGGAGTCCAGAATATGACCCTCTTGTGCTTTGGCTCACCGGAGGTCCTGGTTGTTCTGCGTTTTCTGCACTCGTATATGAAATAGGTACTTATGTAGTCCACTCTGTGCTTCTTTACAGAGGATTTTGGTACTTGCTTATTTATTCACTGTCTGCATCATTTCTGAGGATATAATTCACTATTAGAGGAAATGAGAGAAATGGTTCCTGAACTATGATCGAATTGTAGCTTTGGTCCCTAAACTAAAAATTCATTATTTGGTCCTTGAACTTAATAAAAGTCCTTCGTTACCAATTCCGTTAAATTTTAGTTAAACGTGGTTACATGTTAGTGAAAAGTGTTAAACAAAAATTGCAGGCCTACCTCACCCAACCAACTCTCGCAGCCCACCCTTCAACATTAATCTTTGATACACTCCCCCCCAACTTCCCACTTCCAACCCCCAATCGCTAATCCCCACTCCCCAGCCGACCCCAACCTGTAGCCCACGGACCACCGCCTTCACCCGAACCCGCATCCCACAAATTCTTGAATCTTACCTGTCTAGACAGCGTGGATGGATGTCATTGTGAATTCGTTTGCAAAGGGAGATGTGTTCCAAATTTGGATTAGAAACTTTCTTTTGTTTTGGTTGTTGGGAGAGTGCTACAATGGTGTGGATGGGGTTTGGGGTAGGTGAGGCGGAAGGGAAGATGGGAGAGAGAGAGAGAGAGAGAGTTAACAGAAAATATGAAGCCCACAAAGACCACGTCATCAAATTAACAGAAAATCTCATGGTGTTAGTATGAAGGGACCAATGCTCCACGTTTTGTTAAGTTCAAGGACTAATCTAATGAACTTTTTAAGGACCAAAGCTACAGTTTGATCATAACTCAAGGACCATTTCTCCAATTTTTTCTCACTATTATTTATATTATAATACATTGGTGAAATGAAACTAAAGTTGTATGTGACGTTAATTTTTTTCTGCTTACATTTTGGTAATGGATCCCACAATCACGAAGAAACATGAACATGCGTGTTAATTTTAATCCAAGAGTGAATTATAGTTTCAGGAGGGGTTGAGGGGGCATTAAATGCAATACATCTCAATTGCAAGCAATGGTGGAGAAAGAAAATCAAACATGAGATCTCTAGTGTAAGGTTCAATGTTGTTGTTGTTGTTCTTTTTTTTTTTTTTTTGAACAAACGATATTATCTACACTAAAGAAGTGAGTTATGTCTTACAATTCGTTAGTAATAATGTGGTTTAAATTCGCATTTGGTGAGAATCGAAGCTAAGACCTCTCACTTATAAAAGAAGAGAAATACCACTAGACCGTAGTACTGAGTTATATTTACAAGCCTCTTATGAGCCCCATATAGTTTGGGAAAATTAACATGAATGAGAATTTTACAAATTCTAAATGTCAAACTGATCAAAATCAAATAAAAATGGCATGCTGATCAAACATTGATGAAATTATGGATCAAATATCAACAACTTACCAACAAAAATTCTAAAAACAGACCATCTCAACAATTGAAATGTGTAATTTCATTATTTAATCCAATTCTTTAGAGTTTGATGGATGAATTTTATTTTCTTGTACTGTGTAGTAGACGTCTATAAGTACGAGTTTATAATTCAAAAGTTTTTACGAGGTGTCTAGTGAACATATATTACTCCCAAATTTCCAATTGAAGCAATTTCGAACAATTTATGAACATTAGTAGTCTGCTGCAAGTCATTTTATTCAAAACTTAATTATTGTAACCATCTTTATTATATAACCCTTACTTTGTTGTAGGTCCACTATCCTTTGACTATGCAGATTCCATTGGCAACAAGCCAAAGTTAAAGTTGAATCCATACTCATGGACAAAGGTGCGTGACACTAATTCAATTGCCTTCGAAGTGTTTGTGTTTTCGTATGTGAGATCAATTGCTGCAGCTTTGAGTTATTCTGGATTTCATACAAATATTGTCAATAACCCAAGAATTTCAGGTTGCCAACATAATATTTGTAGATGCGCCGGTCGGCACCGGATTCTCATACGCAAAAACTTGGAGAGGATACGCTAATATGAGTGACACTTTATCAGCAGCACAAACATATGAATTTCTAAGAAAGGTGAGGATATATTTAGCTACCAACATGGTAAATGTATTCATTAATCTGTCTGAGCACATACAAGGTTTTTAGCTACATTCGGTGTATTGGTGCAGTGGCTTATGGACCACCCTAAGTTCTTCAACAATCCACTCTATATTGGTGGCGATTCTTACTCGGGGATAGTTATTCCTCTTATCGTTCAAGAAATATCCGATGGTAAGCTATTTTCATCACCCCATTGGGCATAGTTCTTCCTCTTACATTCAACCTTTATTTAATTCAGTGTCGCGTGTATATATTAACATTTCATTCATAAAGTCTTCGTGCTCAATATGTGGCAGATGAACACATTGGGTATTGATCCGCAGTTGTTTTGTTTGTTTCTTATATGTAGGTAATCATGATGACAATATGCCGCCAATGAATATCAAAGTACGTCTTCTTCAATTAGAATATGAATGATTGCTGTTATGTTTTAGTTAATTAATCCCTGACCATATGTTGGATGCAGGGATATGTGCTTGGCAATCCACTGACAGATCCGAAAAAAGATGAAAATTCCAGAATTTTATTTGCTTACCTAAAAGCACTTATATCAGATGAACTATACCAGGTGAAATAGCCTCCTGTTGTTTTCAAGTTGAGATTGGACTGTGGCTACTCAGATTAATCTGAACTATATTTTAATCAAAACTGTTGGATCTTAGCTCTTAAGTTATATGTATAGTTCTCAATAAAACAACAACGTCTCTCAAGTTACAAATTTTCACATTTTTGCTAGTCACTTCAAACAAATTGCAACGGAGATTATATCAATGTGGATCCGTACAACGCATTATGTGTGGTTGATCTTGAAATTTACAACGAGGTGAGTGGAAACACAATAAGGTCCTTGGTTTCTGCAAGTACTTCTCATTTTCATGTAATCTGGAATCATTATACTGACTTTACATTTGAATTCACAGTGCACGGAAGACATATACCTTGGACAGATACTGGAACCTACGTGTACTACAGTAACTTTGCTAAAATCAAGAGGATCAATATGGAATCCGAACCATCTCAGTGATAAGGACTCTCTAAATATCCTCTTAACTTCTTCTAAACTTCTGAGGCCATGGTGTCGGGTATATATCTCTCCGTACGCACACACAAACAAGCACAAGTGAACTCTAATCGTATCTTCCTTGTTTTAATGTAGGACTACAATTATATCTTCTCTGAAATTTGGGCAAATGACAGAACTGTTCAAGATGCTCTTCATGTTCAGGAGGTAATCAAAGGTTAAATTTTAAAAAATCCATTTCAGGTTCTCATGACATTTCAGGGGACTTTAATTTTCCGATTTTAAATGACAATTAGGGAAGCATTGAAGAATGGGTGAGATGCAATAAAAGCTTAGAAGATTCAAATATAAATGATGTTTCCTCTAGTCTTGTATATCATGAGAACCTCATAAAACGAGGCTATAGAGTTCTTGTTTACAGGTAATATATCTGTCCAATTTTCTTTCGTTAGGGAAGTTTTCTAACAGAATCTGACACAATGTGTTTCCGCATATATCGCATGATCGTTGCTTCCGCACTCAAAATTTCTGTTAACAGTGGTGATCATGATATGGTAGTTCCATATGTGGGTACTCTTGCTTGGATAGAGTCGCTTAACTTGACTGTTGACAGTCGTTGGAGGCCATGGTTCGTCAGTGGGCAGATTGCAGGGTTGGTGCTACATTTTCGCTTAAGACATAATCTTTGTTCCCCCGTTCATACTGAGTTTAATTATAAATTTAGATTACAATTATCACATGCTTACCACATATAATGTTTTCACTTTTAGATACAGTGTGCAGTACTCACACATAACTAATTACAAGTTGACATTTACGACTATAAAGGCAAGAAGCCAAGAACCTTTATGAACTTAATTTTTCATAGATACTAGAGTTCGCTAGAGCAAAAGCCGAATAAAATTTTCTCTTCATGCAGGGAGCCGGTCACACAGCTCCAGAGTACAAACCTGAAGAGTGTCTTGCTATGATTAGTAGGTGGTTTGCATATTACCCTTTGTAGTCAGTAATTCTGATGCAGTACCCTTCGATTTATAGATCCTCATTTATTTGGAGTAGATTTATAACAATGTGTGGAATAAACAATATGTTGTAAGCTTAGTCATGAAGTGTTTAATTTGCTTTTGCACATTACCAAAGACATCTTTGCTTCACCGTTTCACATTGAATTTAAATCCTTCAGAGTACGCTCTAAACATATCATTTGGGTGTCTAGAGATATTACATTGCCAATTGTCTATAACAAATTGATTGAATTCAGAGTGATTAAGCCACATTACCTCAAACTTTAAAGAGTTCTTCCTTTTATGGCCAATATTATTACATTGAAATATGGTAGGACTAAGGTCCGAGCCAAATGTTGGCAAGTTGTGTACATGAACATGTTCAAACATATTTAGCCACTCGAAATTAGCAAACGCATGGTATAACCTTTCAAAGACTATCGATTTATCTTTATGTCCATTTGTCCAACTGAAATGAACTCCGGAAGCAGGTATAGAGACCAGATTACCACCATTGTAAAATTATTGAAATCAATCATGCGCTTAGTTATTGTTCTATTCCCTCCCAAATTTTCTTCGGCGTTTAGGATATTGTTAAAATCTCCCAAGAGTAACAAAGGATTGTTATTTGGGTTCAGTGTAAGAATTTTACTCCATAACTCATATTGTAATTCTTTTTTAGGGTAAGCATACACTAAAGTAATTAGATAACTTGTATCACAAACAAGATCATGCACAATAGCCTGTATAAAACGATCAAAAGAGTAGATTATATTGATATTCAAGGCATTCGATTTCCAGAAAAAACGAAGGCCACCAGCCTTTCCAACACCTACACCGTTAACACTACAATAAATAAATAAAAAAAGCATTATAACAAGTAGAAGAGACCTTATCAAGAGTAGTCTGCGCTTCAACAATACAAAAAAGGTTTAGTTTGTTAATCCTACGCGAAAATCTAAATTATGACACGAAATCAAGTCTAGATAGACCCATGCAATTCCATAACATGCTTCTTATCAGTTAATGTCTTCAAGACAAAGACTACCTGCTTCTGCAACAAACTCCTACCTGGTCGTCTTCGTGAAGAAAGTCTATTCCTTCAGCGTCCTGCTCAGTGAAACCAATGATCGGTCCAGGTACAGCATCTATGGCTTGAACTTGGATGACGGATCTCACCTGCTGGATCTTCCTCTTCTTGAAATTGTTGGTGGCCCCCAGATATTTAGATTCAACGAAGATGCTGTTGATTTAGATTGTCTTGGTCAGGAGTTCGGTATCAATATTTATGCCTCTCCTTGGCTGTATTGCTAGCTTGTTGACATACTTATCACATCTACCTTCCTTCACCAACCTCTCAAGATACCTTTTCCAAGTGAGGCAGTCCTTGGTTGTGCGTCCCGGACCCCCCATGAAATGCGTAATACTTCAACTGGTCCAGCTTAGAAGTATCTCCCTTCATAGGTTGTGGCATCTTGAACCATGGCTCGCCCTTGAGTTCATAGAGGGTCTAGTTGATCGGGATTGAGAACTTGATGAACACCTTAGGTGTTGAGCTTATTTTCGTCAAGGATCGGTCCCTACGATTGCCTTTTGGCTTGCTTTTGTCATTGAGCTACTTCTCGCTCATCTTTTTCTAGAACTGGCTTTGAGTCTTTTCGTGGCTGTTCAGGTGGCTTCTGGGCGCGCTTGGCCTCATCCTAGAGTTCTTTTCTGCTAAAGCATAAAAGTTTGCCAAAGTAAAGTCCTCACCCATGATTAGCTCTCCAAAAAAGGGGTAATCTGATGGGAGCCCCTTCCTAAAAGCTAAGCTTGCATGGTATTGTCACATCTGACGATCTTTGCCTTCTCCGCCTTAAACTTCTTGACATACGTGCAAATTGACTCTTTCGGAACCTTCTTCATGTTGAATAGGTGGTGAGACTTCTTCTTGATTGGGCGATAGAAAAATATTCTCTAGTGAAAACCAACAAAAGTTTGTGGAAGTTCCGGATTAAGCACGACAGTAGGGTATGAAACCATTCTTGTGCCTCGCCCTGCAACTTTGTGGTGAAAATCTTGCACATGAGAGCGTCATCGTTGCCGTAAAGTATCATGGTATTGCGTTAATGCTTCAAGTGCCTATATGAATCTTCATCTCATTTGAAAAGGGTGAAATGTGGTAGGCCAAACTTCTGTGGTGGCTCTGTATGCTCAATCTCATCTGTGAATGGTGACCTGCTCTTCGAATCGCATCGTCAATGGTTTCAAAACACTGGAATCTGTGCAGCTGCTATACTATGAGCCTTTGTAATTCCTCTTGGATTTGCCTTTGCTGACCTACTAGCTTGTGCTACTTTTTTGCTTGTTCTGTTCATCTGTGCCACGGTCGCAATGCATGTGGTTCGTCTCTAGCTGGTGAAGAGCTGCTCGATGTTACACTTGGCGTAGGTTGCTAGTTGAACTCGAGCTGAACTACTTTCGTGTTTCTTTCTGTCTTTTGTGCTACTACTTACTCTGGTGTTTCATAGGATGATCCCCTTAAAGGCCTAGTTGTGAGTGGACGCTTCACTTAAAATGTCTGGAATGCTTGTCAAAATGTGGACTCAACCCCGAATGTACACTGACTCATAGGGCAAACAGGGAATGAACGCTTCTCTATACACTAAGGTAGAATAAGACGCTTTCCCAAGGGCTATGCTGAGATAGTACACTACCCGAACACTCGGTTCGTGGCGGGTTGAACGACTGCTTGCTAGGACGCTGATGGAAAAAGTAAGGACCTTTCGGCCTTGTCCTGTTTCTAGACACCTCGTGTGGGGTGCGTTGCATCTCGATACGCTCAATGAGCTGATTTATCAAGGTCGTCTATTGCACGGATGCGCTGGTTAAGTCAGCAACCTGTCGGGATAAGTGTTGTTAGCCATTTGGGATGGAATAGCTCAGATGATGGTCTGGTCGTTAGAATCCAAATCGTTTGAAATGGTCTTCGACCGGTTTAGGTCGCGAGGTAAATCGTTGGAGTGGATCACGAGGCAGGCCAACTTGCTTAGCTGGCTAGGCCGTGAGCTGGGACTTGCTGGGCATACGCATGAACCGCTGCCCATTGACATGTGCTACATGTTCAGCTGTCGCATGCCCTTTTTAGGCTTGGGCTGCTTTTGCAGCAAATGGGATGGGCTTCCTACCCTGGGCCTATTAAGGCATTTGCTCTAGTTTGGGCCTCTTGCCCTTGATGCTCCGCTGCTGCACCATGCGCATAAGCCTTGACTTGAGCTGCTGCTGCTACTGCAATCGTCATTGTCATGGGATGCTCGGTAGTGGCTGTGGGACTATGATTTTCCAGGGTCGTAATAAGGTTATCCAAATACAATTAATTTAGAAATCTGATCATGGACTCATTAGCTTCGGGCAGAGCTATATCAGACAAAATAGCGGTGCCATCATCACTTAACTCAAGGGTACTAGGCGAAGTCCTAGCGACTTGGCTGGATAACCATGCTTGTTTTGCAAGGCACGGGATCTTATCCAGATATAGACACAATCAAATTATATAAGTCTTGGAGTTCCTACAATCTAGGAATTGGCATGCGCCGCAAGTAATCACAACTCCTAACAGGATGCAATATTTACTTCTAGATATCTTCTAGGATTCTCCCGACTTAGAACGAGGACTCTGTCCTGAAAGATTTCTCTCCCTACAATATAAATACACCCATTTAGGGTTCATCTATGGTAACACATTAAAATTCTCTTACACACTGCTTAAGTCTAAAATCATTCACTAACTTGACCGTCGGAGAGCCTTTGCCAGCACATACCCCCTCCCTCATGGCCCTAGGCTTGCTAACGGTAGTTTTACTATTTTGCAGGCTGGTCAGATTGGTACTCGATTGCCCTCACAGAGGAGCGCAAAATTGGTTCTATTAGTGGCCACAACAATGATGGTGTTCTGGAGCGGTTAGGCTTCTTATGTCATCGTGTTGAGCCTCGATGACTGTCGTCGTGGGGCCACATCCTCATCTCCATACTTTGGTCCAAATCCTTGAACTTATGGGGTTCTGCTCATCATGGTTTCGGAATTTTCAACCATTGTATCTTTTCTCTAGGGACTGATCAAGAAAATTTTCTAAGAAAAATTAAATGATGTTGCATATGAGAAATTCAACGTAGAAATTTCGAAAAACCAATTGAGAGATTCTTTTTCAAGTATTTCAATCAAGCTCTCAATAGAAATACCAATTTGTGGTAGCAAATTCCGCCGTCTTCGATCTTGACGAAACTGTACCTACAAAATAATCAACACATTTGATAAAAAAAAAATCTAAGCCTCATGCGTCCACAAGATGGGGAGGTTAGGCCAATGAATCTCTGATGCCTAAGTTAGTTTCTTTTAAAAGAGTGAGTGTAAAGCTTACTGAAATTTGGTAGAGATAGAGGTATTTATAGATAAGAAGGGGCCGGCCATAGTGTTAGGGCTTTGCCCTACACATGGCGGCATCCTATTGGCCAAAGCGTATGGAAAGAATATTCCCAAGATATTAATTAAGAAATAATATCTTAGGATAATGATGGAAGTCTCCCTAATTGATTGAGATAGCGATTACTTACTTGATGGAGTCAATTTTCAATTGGGAATGCATTAAATATGAGATTTGGTGATTAATCTCTATCTTTAATGTTTTTGACTTTTCATTGCCATGAACAGGGGAGCTATGGGTAGTTGCAATCAGTTGCTTAGACTTCCAGGGATACTGAGCTGCACGTGGGAATATTTAAGAGCCCTACCCATTTAATAAAAGCAGTCTTGTCTTTCTTAAATAAAAGTTCACGCGTTGCCTCTAGGAAGCATTTTTGTTTAAATTAATATACTCAAAGCAAATATAGGCACTCATCTAAATTTAATTCCCACGTGCAATTTTGCTGGGAGAGGGACAAATAGCAGACAACAGACTTCAGTTCTACACAATGTTTTGATATGATCAGTACGTGGTTACATTATTCTCCTGACAACTAGTTATTTCCTCCCTACAAATACTGACAGCAGAGTTCGCTCTCATTTCCTTGTTTCTATTAATTCCGTCCAACACTGACTAACATGGATTAAGGGGTTTTTGA